GGATGACAACTGGCCTACCGAGAAAAAAATCTGCCTCGTCAGACATGTATCGAAAGATACATGATCGCCTAAGCGTGTATCATAACTGACTGAACATAGAGGAAATTTCATCAGAATAATTACCATGAAAGTATTCATAGAAAAAGCACAGGAAAAGTAGTTGAAGCGAGATGTCAGGTCAGGACCAATAACATTGCAGATTCTTCTTTGGATTTCATCAAGAACCTCTAAATATAAAGCAGGGGCACCAGACCAGATACCGTCCTGGGTATGAGGATAAACTACATCCGTGTCCTGGGTAAGACGATAAACTACGTCCGACAGTAAGGCCTCTGATCAGGTTTTGAGGAGCGTGGAACCACCTCTTACTTGCTGATGTTCCCAGGTCCACCCTGACCCGGGGTGGTAGCACCTGTTAGGGTCCTAGTTATGAGCAAATAGTTAACACCCAAACTCGGATCAAAACACTATGAAAGTGTAAAAATAGGTTTTAATGCCAGAAATACTTTGTATAAAAAATTATTACCAGCAATACATTTTTGAAAAACAAATATTACGAGCAATACATTTAAAAAAAATATTACCAAATTAGGAAAATACTTACCAGAAATAGAGGTTTGAAAGAAAAAATATTACCAGAAATAGATTTTGGGAAAAAAAAATATTACTAGCAATGAAAATTTTGTCGGCATTAAATAACCCATTGAGGTTGATATACCGTAAAACAAACCAAACGAAATGAAACAGACTAGATGTAGCAGCAATATTCAAAGCAAGGACGAATGGTACACTTAAAATATATAAAATTGTCTAGCATCACATAGTGAATCAACTTTCTTAGCTGCAGACTTAGTAACTGATTCAATGTACGCTTTATACTTCATTTTTCATTTGTTAATTTAATTTTAATTATTTTAAGGATATTTTAAGAAATAACTTCTTTTCTCTATAAGAATGTGTATATACTACCTGACGACATCTATCTCTCTACCTTTGACCTGTTCCATTACCTTTGACCTGTGCCTTGCTATGCTATGCGAATCACTAGAGGAGAAATGGATTATAATATTTTTTTCTATTCGAACTGATGCAATTGAAATTGACGAAAACGTCGTCATCGGATATTAGGGCGGATTGATTGAAAGATCGATTCGTTCTTTCACGGCTTATCAACCCATTACAGCTTATTTAATGCCAGAAAATATTTTTAGATCATATTTTATTTATTTATTTATTTATTTTTTGAGATAGTTATGATTTAGTAAACCACGTGTTACTAATTAACCCAGTGGTTCTCAAAGTTTTTGAAGTCATGTTTGGTTTATTTTGTTTTACGGCATATCAACCTCAGTGGGTTATTTAATACCGACAACATTTTTAGGATAGATTCGTATGAATAGAATATGTATTCTTTGGTTTAGATTGGTTTGGTTTATTTTGTCCCATGGCACACCAACCCCAAATTTTGGAAAAATATGTTATAATGAAGTCAAATATTGCAGAAAACAGATAATGCAATAAAAAATGTAAAATGAAACATATGTTAAGTTTATTCATTCTTGTGTTTAGAATAGAATAAGTTATCCCGAATGACGTGTTTATGATCAACTAATTTACCACATTTGTTTATAAACAAATAAGTAATAAATAATAAATTACTTTGAAAGTATAAATAAGACAACTTTTAAATAAACAATCTTAATCCTCGTTATCATTTCATGTTACATGATACATCTTTTAATAATCAACTTTCTCGGAACAGGCCTGGAGGACCGACCAGCAATTCCTACCAGCTCAGTAAAGCAAAACAAAAGCTTCCTACCATTGAAGCTTTCCTCGAGGGCTATTCGCAACGAGACGGGTACCGTAATATCATAAACTAGCAGTAGAGCCCGGCGTTACCCGGGGATATAACAGTAAGAGATAGATCAAGTATCCACCATCATAAAGACTGAAAAATAAAATTGACAAAGATTATTGTTTAAGGTTGACGGACACGCATGTCTTAATTAGTTTTTTTTTTTTTTACGAATTGGTCAAACCCAAACTCAAACAAAAACATTGTTTTCAATCGTTATGAGTCTCTACCGATTGAATAGAATTTTATTATAAACAATTGTCTTGTAAATGGAATTTTTAAAGCATTCTGAATGTAAAAATAAAGAAAAAAGTGTGCAAGACAATAAGAAACACTACCTGCCAAAAAATGTGAAGTTTTGTTGAAAACGGTTGAAAAATGTAGGAAATCCGATCCCATATATAAACGAACACACACACACACACACACACACACACACACACACAAAACACAAACACAAACACAAACAAACAAACAATCTGCGTTTTGTAATAAGTAAGATAACTGAAAAATTTAAGAAAAATCGCCACCATGACAACTTGAAGACCTCGAAACATTTTTTTTCACTTTGGAAAAATATATCAGTTCATAAAATTTAAAAATAAATATCTGTGAACAAATCAGTAATATTTGTACAAAGAAAATTTGTTAAAATAAAATTTACATATGGCTATTTGATATGGGAAAAATAAAATTAGGGAAAGTTATGGTAAGAAAAAGTAAATTTTATATCGGGTTTCGATCTTAGCTAGAGGCAACCGGACGTCTAACCACACTGATGAACTGTGATACAGCGAAACCGTCTGTCTGTGGATGACAATGCATACATATATTTATATGTTTACATCTCTCTCTCTCTCTCTCTCTCTCTCTCTATCTATCTATCTATCTATCTATCTATCTATATATATATATATATATATATATATATACATATATATATGTAAATATAAAAATATGTATTGCACATAAAGTGCTGGTGTTATTGAAACAGTGCTCGATTTTATACAACAGAGTTATAAAATATATACATTAATGAATATACATACCCCACACCGTTTGCTCTACTCGGAGTTTCATGCCAAACGCAATCTTCAGGTGCTGAGTGTAACCTGACAGTTATTTAATTTGAAAATATATTAGTTTATCATAATGGTGGTGTGGTTAAGTACTATTTATATAGTGATATTATGTTTTCGAAAAATTTAAAAATAAATTAATATTAAAAAAATATTACATTTCTCATGACATTAAATCTAGCAAATAAAGCAACCAGTATTAACATATAAACATAAAAAGATAAGTAATTATTAATTAATATTTAATTTAAGCTAAGTTATCAAATATAAATTATTAATTATAAAAACGGAAGGGTGCTAATTTAATTTAATATAAAATAGTAAAATTATCAGAGAAAAAAAATATATATTGTTATTTTATTATAAGTGAAAGCTTTCATGTTTCAATACTATGAATGTCCTTCTTCAGGCGATGGTAAGTAACTGGTAATTAAATGATTTTTAAGAAATTTAAAAACAAACTGTTACCTCTATTCCCGAAAGTTAAAGAAGGGGGGACATGAGGTCAGAATTCAAATTAGAATTATGGGTATGTCTTGATTAATCAATTAAATATCAGATCTACGCTAAATAGAAAAGAAAGCTCAGAGGGTAGAGGTGGGTCAGATATTTTTTCCTATCACAATATACCGGAACATAGGCCATCACTGAAAAACCACAATGTCCCGGTTTATCGTGACATGAAAAAATAATAATATAACAATATTGTATTAATATTATCAACTGAAAACTATGTCAAGTACTTACACGTATATTTTCAATTTTCAAATTTTTAAATACAATAGCGTTTTCTAAATTCTCCTAGTTGCTAAGGACATTTTGTTTGTTGTTAATAGTTACTTTGTTTTCAATAAAATCATTTCGTCTTTGCCTCGAAAAAGTCCACAATGGACGAAACGCGTCGGCTAATAATACAGTTTTCCTATTGTCTTTTAGCATTATACACATTGTCTTTTTCTACAGGTTAAGCCTGAGAAATTTTTCATATATATATATATATATATATATATATATATACTCGACTCTACTGTCGAATTTGACGTATGAGGGTCAAGAAGATCAGTTCCTAGGAAACTGACAACAGCACGTGAGATTTGATTATAGTGGTGAAGTTTTCGTGCAGGACCATCCACACTTTGTGAAGGGCCGAATACAGAGACCTGATGCACAACGTGCCACGAGTTCCCCCAAACGACCCTCCGCAGGTTTTGAATTCAGAGTTGTCCTTCTCTTAGACCAGTTGCCATCCAAAGCTATAGAACCCGGTCTGTCCTGCTATTTGCCCATAGCTGGAGGGAGAAGATGATTCATACCTTTCCCAAGGGTATTAGCACGTAAGTGAATGTAATGGATTCGACTGGAATTCGAACTCGGCTCTACCGATTTCTCAACCCAAGCCGCTATCCATTACTCCTTTTATTTATATTATATATATATATATATATATATATATATATATATATATATATATATATATATATATATATATATATATATATATATATATATATATATATATATATATATATATATATATATATATATATATATATATAAAATCACTAAACGTTATTTTGATGTTTTGATGGATGCTCTTTTTTGAATAGACGCTACATTTATTTATTAATTAGTATATATTTTTTTTTATTTTCGTCTACCGGACTTAATATTCGAGAAATATATACGCTCTCTGAATTCGAATCTGCGTCCCACTTCAGGATAAGAGTTATGCGTATATCTAGATTCTGCTGAGGGTGGTAGCACAAATTATTCGCCTGTTTTATGAGTTGGGGTTTTACTGCCTGCCCCACATTGGAAGCCTTAAGCCTGACGGTATAAGTTTGAACATATCAACCCAAAACACGCTATTTTCCAGAAAATAAATAAATTCTTCAGCGATATATCAATTTCAGCCGTATTTGTTCATAAACTAACCAAGAAATCAATCTCCTTACCTACCCACCTCGTGACTTCAAAAAGCGCACCTACCTGGATAATGTTATCCAGAAACTAAATACCTTCCTTTAAAATCAAATTAAGGGAGATCGAAGGTCAGTTCATCGATGGGTCAGCTCCTGAAAGTGGCCAAGCGGGCAGAGCCACCCGTCGACGACATCAGGCGATTGGTTGGACTGGTCGACATGCGGTAGTTCGAGAGGGAGCATTTGTTTTTCCTTTGCCTGAGTAGGTCGTTCGTTAGCCCAGGAGACTGACACCGAACTTGACCGGCCAGATACTTGTGGACATTCTCACCACCGACTGGCGTCCACTCATGATGACTCTGACACCTCTATTCATTCTAATGACACAGGCCCGTCCAATCTTTTGCCACTTTTTCCAGTCGTCATTGGCACGGCGGGTGTGATCAAGTGATTAGCGCTCGACAGATAGACTAATTGACAGACAGATTGACTGCGGGGATCGATGTTTCGAGACCGTGTGTGGAAGGTCGGTAGGGACAGGGAATTAAAATTGAACCCTCTGACAGAAATGGTAAAGAGACAAAAATGAAGAGACTAAAATATAAATAGTTTGTCATACAAGTTGGAGATAAATTTAGGGGTTTCTTAAGATTTGATTTCAGTCCTAGCATATCTAAAGCATCTATAGAAATAATTTTTTTAAATGTGTTCACCCCATGCAAGGCAGTAAAGCCACTGAGACACAACGGGGTTACAAGGTGTGGAAGAGTTACAAATAAAAACACGGCTAAGGAGTAGCGAACAAAAGAAGAGTAATCAGGTAGACAGTAGATAGCGATTGACATTGTATTTAAATTTTTTGCAGATTAAAGTTGGATGGAAAGTATGGAGCCGGAAGGGAGTTCTACAAGCGAGAAGTACAAGAAAATAAGCTGTTAGCATAGAAATTACGGTTGCATCTAGCCAGTTCAATTGTAAATTGGTGAGACATTGCCACCAGTCTAGAACTGCACTTAAATTCATAAAATCTAGGCAATATAGCGACGACCTTATCCGAACAATTACCATGAAAGTATTTATAGAACATTAAAGTAATGCAAATTTACGGCGGTGGGAAATTGACTGAACATGAGATGCTAGATCAGGGCCAATAATATTGCTGATTCTTCTTTGGATTAATTAGATGATTTTTGGCCTGTCTACAATTGGCATTATTTCTCAGTACTATAAACGGTATATTTAGTGGATGCACGTTTTTTAGTAGACGCCTCTATTTGTTTTAAAACGGAACAGTTCACTTCCACCGGCTTGGAGTTTTTGAGAGTCTTTAATAAAGAAAAGGTGTCTTTCAGCGAGGTATAAACATGAGTTCTCCTCTTATAGGTGAAACCCCCGTATAGCCTGACATGCTTTTAAACGTCTAAACCACGAAGAGCACTACGGGGTTCGAACCTGTATGTTTTCTGAAAAATTAAATAAACCATTGTACATTTTTGGATAATTATTGTCAAATTGTGTCCGGATATTATGAGAATCTTCTGTTTATATTATAGCAAGCATTCTTAACAAACGGGAACTTTGGCGAGGATTTGTGTTGGCCAGGAGTTGTGTTGGCGAGGATTTTTGTTGGCGAGGATTTATGCTGGCGAGGATTTGTGTCGGTGAGGATTTATGTTGGCGAGGATTTATGCTGGCGACGATTTGTGTTGGTGAGGATTTATGTTGGCGAGTATTTATGTTGGCGAGGATTTGTGTTGGCTAAGATTTGTGTTGACGAGGATTTGTGATGGTGAGGATTTATGCTGGCGAGGATTTATGTTGACGAGGATTTGTGTTGGGGAGGATTTGTGTTGGTGAGGATTTTTGTTCGTGAGGATTTGTATTGGTGAGGTTAATTGTGGAGAGCATTTGCATTGGTGAGGATTTATGCTGATGAGAATTTATGCTGACAAGGTTTTATGTTGGCGAGGATTTATATTGAGGATTTATGTTGACGAGGATTTCTGTTGGCGAGGATTTGTGTTGGCAAGGATTTATGTTGACGAGCATTTGTGTTGGCGAGGATGTATGTTGACGAGGATTTGTGTTGACGAGGATTTGTGTTGGCGAGGATTTATATTGCCGAGGATTTATGTTGGCGAGGATTTATGCTGGCAACGATTTGTGTCCGTGAGGATTTATGTTGGCTAAGGTTTGTGTTGACGAGGATTTGTGTTGGCGAGGATTTATGCTGGCTAGGATTTATGTTGGCGAGGATTTGTGTTGGTGAGAATTTATGTTGGCGAGGATTTATGCTGGCGACGATTTGTGTCGGTGAGGATTTATGTTGGCTAAGATTTGTGTTGACGAGGATTTGTGTTGGGGAGGATTTGTGTTGGCGAGGATTTATGTTGACGAGGATTTATGTTGGCGAGGATTTATGCTGGCGACGATTTGTGTCGGTGAGGATTTATGTTGGCAAGGATTTGTGTTGGTGAGAATTTATGCTGGCTAGGATTTATGTTGGCGAGGATTTGTGTTGGTGAGAATTTATGTTGGCGAGGATTTATGCTGGCGGCGATTTGTGTCGGTGAGGATTTATGTTGGCTAAGATTTGTGTTGACGAGGATTTGTGTTGGTGAGGATTTGTGCTGGCTAGGATTTGTGTTGGTGAGGATTTGTGCTGGCGAGGGTTTATGTTGACGAGGATTTGTGTTAGGGAGGATTTATGTTGGCGAGGATTTCTGTTGCCGAGGATTTGTGATGGTGAGAATTTATGTTGGCTAAGATTTGTGTTGACGAGGATTTGTGTTGGCGAGGATTTATGTTGACGAGGATTTATGTTGGCGAGGATTTATGTTGGCGAGGATTTGTGTCGGTGAGGATTTATGTTAGCGAGGATTTATGCTGGCGACGATTTGTGTCGGCGAGGATTTATGTTGGCGAGGATTTGTGTTGACGAGGATTTGTGTTGGTGAGGATTTGTGTTGGTGAGGATTTGTGTTGGTGAGGATTTGTGTTGGCGAGGATTTGTGTTGGGGAGGATTTGTGTTGACGAGGATTTGTGTTGGTGAGGATTTGTGCTGGCGAGGATTTGTGTTGGGGAGGATTTGTGTTGTCGAGGATTTACGTTGACGAGGATTTATGTTGGCGAGTTTGTGTCGGTGAGGATTTATGTTGACGAGGATTTATGCTGGCGACGATTTGTGTCGGTGAGGATTTATGTTGGCTAAGATATGTGTTGACGAGGATTTGTGTTGGTGAGGATTTGTGTTGGTGAGGATTTGTGCTGGCGAGGATTTGTGTTGGGGAGGATTTGTGCTGGCGAGGGTTTATGTTGACGAGGATTTATGTTGGCGAGGATTTATGTTGGCGAGGATTTGTGTCGGTGAGGATTTCTGTTGCCGAGGAATTGTGTTGGTGAGAATTTATGTTGGCTAAGATTTGTGTTGACGAGGATTTGTGTTGGCGAGGATTTATTGGTGACGAGGATTTATGTTGGCTAGGATTTATGTTGGCGAGGATTTATGTTGGTGAGGATTTATGTTGGCGAGGATTTATGTCGGCGACGATTTGTGTTAGCGAGGATTTATGTTGGCGAGGATTTATGTTGACGAGGATTTGTGTTGGTGAGGATTTGTGCTGGCGAGGATTTGTGTTGGGGAGGATTTGTGCTGGCGAGGGTTTATGTTGACGAGGATTTATGTTGGCGAGGATTTATGTTGGTGAGGATTTGTGTCGACGAGGATTTATGTTGGCGAGGATTTATGTTGGTGACGATTAGTGTCGGTGAGGATTTATGTTGGCGAGGATTTGTGTTGGTGAGAATTTATGTTGGGTAGGATTTATGTTGGCGAGGATTTGTGTTTGTGAGAATTTATGTTGGCGAGGATTTATGCTGGCGACGATTTGTGTCGGTGAGGATTTATGTTGGCTAAGATTTGTGTTGACGAGGATTTATGTTGACGAGTATTTGCTTTGGCGAGGATTTGTGTTGGTGAGGATTTATGTTGGCGAGGATTTATGTTGGTGAGGATTTATGTTGACGAGGATTTATTTTGGCGAGGATTTGTGTTGCCGAGGATTTGTGTTGGCGAGGATTTATGTTGGCGAGGATTTATGTTGACGAGGATTTATGTTGAGGATTTCTGTTGGCGAGGACTTATGTTGACGAGGATTTGTGTTGGCGAATATTTATGTTGACGAGGATTTGTGTTGGCGAGGATTTATGTTGACGAGGATTTGTGTTGACGAGGATTTATGTTGAGGATTTGTGTTGGTCAGGATTTGTGTTGACGAGGATTTGTGTTGGTGAGGGTTTGTGTTGGTCAGGATTTATGTTGTCGAGGATTTATGTTGACGAGGATTTATGTTGAGGATTTCTGTTGGCGAGGACTTATGTTGACGAGGATTTATGTTGACGAGGATTTATGTTGAGGATTTCTGTTGGCGAGGACTTATGTTGACGAGGATTTGTGTTGGCGAATATTTGTGTTGACGAGGATTTGTGTTGGCGAGGATTTATGTTGACGAGGATTTGTGTTGACGAGGATTTATGTTGAGGATTTGTGTTGGTCAGGATTTGTGTTGGCGAGGATTTATTTTGGTGAGGATTTGTGCTGGCGATGATTTATGTTGACGAGGTTAATTGTGGCGAGGATTTCCATTGGTGAGGATTTATGCTGATGAGAATTTATGTTGGCAAGGATTTGTGTTGGCGAGCTGACCTTCCGGGTTGAGCGCAAAGTCTTGTATTTTCTGAGATTATAATTTCGAATGATTTTGTATTCACTCAAACCAACAGCGATTGACTGAAAAATTCACAGTTGTATGCCTCTTCAAATTCCTCAACAAACATTTTTTTCGACAGACGCCTGTATGGATTTTATTTTAGATTATTTTTAGCGGCCTTTTCTCGGGGTTTAACATGTATATTATATATATGTTAATATATACACATGCTTTTTCTTCACCGGTAGCACGACTCGGTGTTTCATGCACAACGCAATCTTCAGGTGTTGAATAGAGACTCTACTCAGCACCTGAAGATTGCGTTGTGGAAAAATGCATATTAATTAATATATACTTTATATATATACATGTACACGATCACTATTTGATTAACTCCTGCAATCAATGTGCGATATCTTATCTATATTAACCATCGCATCCTAAACAACGGACATTTCGTGTCGATAAATTTTAATTATAGACTTTTCCAATTAATGACGAATGCTTCTTAGACAAAAAAATAGTCCTATTTTCATTTTACATTCGACCTTATATCATATTATATACAACAATGTTATATCATATAGAAGAATGTTATATCATATTACTAGCAGTAGAGCCCGGCGTTGCCCGGGGATGTAACAGTAAGAGATAGATCAAGTATCGACCATCATAAAGACTGAAAAATAAAATTGACAAGATTATTGTTTAAGGTTGACGGACACGCATGTCTTAATTAGTTTTTTTTTTTTTTTTTTTTTACGAATTGGTCAAACCCAAACTCAAACAAAAAAAAACTGTTTTCAATCGTTATGAGTCTACCGATTGAATAGAATTTTATTATAAACAATTGTCTTGTAAATGGAATTTTTAAAGCATTCTGAATGTAAAAATAAAGAAAAAAGTGTACAAGACAATAAGAAACACTACATGCCAAAAAATAGCGAAGTTTTGTTGAAATCGGTTGAAAATGTAGGTAGCCTTTCTGTAATTTTTTAGTTTTACAATTTATGATTTTTACTTATTGAATACAGTAAAAAAAATTGCATATTTTGCTTGTGGTGATTTATAATTAGAATTCTGATTTGAATATATTTTCCACTCGTTGTTTCTAATACAAAAAATATTAACTTTATCTGGGTTTAATAATTATGATCTAACAAATCTTATTCATTTAGTAGCCTTCTTTTACAATTTATGATTTTTACTTATTGAATACAGTAAAAAAATTGGACACCATGTGTAGTTAAAGTAGTTTCCCGTTCCGGTTATTATTTTTAGTTAGGACTTGTGTATGTTTAGATTTCATTATCTTTCCCTAAAGATAAAGAATTTATGTTTGTATTCGTACAATCAGTAGAGATAGTTAGATTATTGTTTAAGGTTGACGGACACGCATGTCTTAATTATTTTTTTTATTTTTTATTTTTTTCGAATTGGTCAAACCCAAACTCAAACAAAAACATTGTTTTCAATCGTTATGAGTCTACTGATTGAATAGAATTTTATTATAAATAATTGTCTTGTAAATGGAATTTTTAAAACATTCTGAATGTTAAAAATAAAGAAAAAATGTGCAAGAGAATAAGAAACACTACCTGCCAAAAAAAAAGTGAAGTTTTGTTTTATCGGCTGAAAAATATAGGAAATCCACTCCCATATTTAAAGTAACCCACACACACAAACAAACCGATGTGAGTTGTCCCACTTCCATTTTCACGATGTCTCTTAATCGTGTTTTCAAATTGATTTTGTGCAAAAACAATTATATTTTTCCCATTTTTATGCGCTATTAGAACCACCACAATGTAATTTTATGTAGTCCTGTGAAGTTTTGTTGAAATCGGTTGAAAAATGTAGGAAATCCGATCCAATATATAAACGTTACAGACACACACACACACAATCTGCGTTTTATAATAAGTAAGATATACAAAAATGTTATATGTTATATTATGTAAAACAATGTTATATCATATTATATACAACAATGTTATATCAGATATATATATACAATTATAATGTTATATCAGAATATTATGTTATTATATATAACAAAATTATATGTTATATCATATTATATACATATTCATATATATACAACAATGTTAAATATTTTATACAACAATGTTATATTATATATATAATGTTATATGTTATATAACATAATATCATATTATATACAACAATGTTATATCATATTATATACAACAATGTTATATCACATTATATACAAAAATGTTATATCATATTATATACAACAATTTTATATGTTATATTATATACAACAATATAATATCATATTATATACAAAAATGCTATATGTCATATCATATTATATACAAGAATGTTCAATACAAAAAGCATTGTTACTTACAAGGATAATCTTCTACAATCGACTCCAAATCTGAACTCCATGGAAGAAAGGTATTGTTGTGTATGAGTCGTCGGGGCATTATTTATTTCGAGTTCTTAAAACTCAATGAAACACTAAACGTACGTCCATCAGCTGCAACGTGTCCATAAAAGGTTGGTCGTAAAGCACACTCTCCTCTGTCAATTGGAAAAATATTTTTCATTTCCTTAACAACGTCGGACAACATAAAAAAAGAATAAGAGGAAAAGATTTTGGTACACGGTTAGTCTGTTTTAGCCGAACTGGCATATTCACCCGGCCAGGTACCAACAGATTATGAGCTTTTTTCGATCGCTTCACAACAGTTTGATATGGAAAACTTTCTCTCATGAAAACCAGGTTCAAGAATTAGTCAGAATCATTTTTACATCAAAATCTGCGAAATTTTACGCAAAAGGTATGGAAGACATCCCTGTTAAGTTACAACATTTCTACCCATAGCTTGAAGGAGAAGAAGATGATTCACACCTTTTCCAAGGGTATTAGCACTTAAGTGAATGTAATGGATTCGAGTGGAATTCGACCTCGGCTTTCCGATTCCTCAATCCAAACAGCTATCCATTACTCCACCGTTCCTCCCTCTCTCTCTCTCTTTCTCTCTCTCTTTCTCTCTCTCTCTCTCTCTCTTTCTCTCTCTCTCTCTCTCTATATATATATATATATATATGTGTGTGTGTGTGTGTGTGTTTGTCTGACGATCGCAAAAGCGTGAAACCCAGGGTCACAAACTCACATCAATCCAACCAAACATGTTAGCTCTATCTCTGATACTGAGTGCTTTCTAATAAGTACCGCGCATATAATATATAAATAATAATATATATAATATATTGCATAGATAGATAGATAGATAGATAGATAGATAGATAGATAGATAGATAGATATTATTATTATTATATATTATTGTTGTGGTACGATCCACCTAATTTACATAGTGGAGTAGCGACCATATAAATATGGTTGGTACCGGGAAGACGGGGGAGGAAGAAGAGATCCTATCCAGAGACTCTGCCCGACTGCGACTAAGTCAACCCATTCTACAGGAACGGTCTTCCCAAGAATATACCAAACTATCTGTAAATATTGTGTACACTTTCTTGTTTCAATACATTTTGTTTACGTACATTTTGTGTTGTATTATTATTATTCCATGCTTTATTCAAGTTTCAACAATTATATATATAGATATTATTATTATTATCATTATTATTATTACAGACAACAGACATTTTGTCGATTGATTTTATTGATCGACTTTTCCAAATTACGAATAATGCTTTTCATATAAGGAGGAAATTCCAACAGTAATTGGTCAAATTTCATTTCGGAAAAATAGGGACCAAGCATTCGACTATCTTGAGTCCTCATCAGGGTAGGCAGAAACAAATGGCGTGTTTTGTAGAACTGTTACGGGATATCAGTCCTATACGACAGCGAATGCTGAACAATTTCCTCACAGATGAAGAAGAGACTTGAAGCAACAGGAATGTGGTTCTACAGAAGGATGTTGAGGATACCAAGGACCAAACACGTGGGCAACGACGAAGTTTTTAGAGGAAAATTGAAACAAAAAGGAAACTTAAACTTAACATCCGGAATAGAGAGTTGAAATTTCTAGGGAACATAATGAGGAAAGAGGGCTTAGAAAATCTGATACTCACAGGGCAGATGGAAGGCAAGAAGGATAGAGGAAAACAGCGCATAACATACTTAGTGAACTTGAGTAAATGGATGGCGGAACAGGGTTTAGAAGAAATAATAAAAGTATAATATTTATTAAGAGATACAAAGAACAGGAAATTGTGGAGAGCCGTGATCGTAGTAGTACCCCTAAGTTTTTCTTCTTTCTTTTTCTCTACTGTTTAATAGTTCTCGCCACAAAAAGAATTAAAGAAACTCATTAATAAACCAAATTAATAAACAGCCCTATTAGTTTCTTCCTCGCGGCTTTTTGTCATGGCGGAAAGGTATTAAGACTGAAGGTTGTTTCCCTTCCAATTGTTATTATATATCCCTTCGATGCAACCATTTCCGCCCGGGTTAGCGCTTTTATTCGTTGGTGTGATAATTACTTTGGTGTGAGACTGGCACCGACGACATCTGAGATAAAGGCGAAGCAAGTGTCATTTTTTCCATGTGGGTTGGGAAGGAACTTGGAGCAAGTTGGACGCACAGCAAGTAAGTTTGTGACTGAGACAGGTCGGGGAGCTTACAGAAGAATTGATTTCTTTTGTCTTTTTAGTCACGTCTATTATTTTTATTTTCTTTCTTATTTTTCTTTCATCTTAAATTCTCCCTTCTTTCCTTCTTCCTTCTTTCAAATTTCTTCCTTCCTTTTTTTTCTTCCTTCCTTTTCCTTCTGACTTTCCTTCCTTCCTTTTTCTTTTATCATCCTTACCTTCCCCTTCCTATTTCTTTCATGTACCTTCCTTTCTTCCTCCCCTTCTTCCCTCCATGCTTCCTTACTTCCTTCCTTCTGCCCTTCCTTCCTTCTGTCCTTCCTTCATCTTCCTGCCTTTTCCTTCCTTCCTTTTTCTTTTCTTTTCTCCTTACGTACTTTCTTTTCCTTTCATCTTCATTCCATCCTTCATTTTCCTTCCTTCTTCTTTACTTCCTTTTTTCCTCCCTTTTTTCGTTCATTCCTTCCTTTTTTTATTCTTCCTTTTTGATTTTCTTTCCTTTTTCATTCCTACCTTTTTCCTTCATTCCTTTTCCTTTCGGACGTCTTTTCTTCCTTCTCTTTTTCCTTCCTTTTTTTTTATCAACCTTCCTTTTCCCTTCTTATTTCTTTCTTCTTTCCCTCCCTTCCTCCTTTTTTCGGTTTTTCCTTCCTTTTTCTTTCTTTCTTTTTTATTTTCTTTCCTTTTTCATTCCTGCCTTTTTCCTTCATTCCTTTTCCTTTCGGACATCTTTCCTTCCTTCTCTTCTTCCTTCCATCTTTTTTATCAACTTCCTTTTCCCTTCCTATTTCTTTCTTCTTTCCCTCCTTCCTTCCTTCAGTTTTCCTTCCTTTTTCTTTCTTTCTTTCTTTTTCATTTTCTTTCCTTTTTCATTCCTGCCTTTTTCCTTCCTTCCTTTTTCTTTCGGACGTCTTTCCTTCCTTCTCTTTTTCCTTCCTTCTTTTTTATCAACCTTCCTTTTCCCTTCCTATTTCTTTCTTCTTTCCCTCTCTCCCTTCTTTCCTCTATTTTTCCTTCCTTTTTCTTTCTTTCTTTCTTTCTTTCTTTCTTTCTTTTCATCTTCCTGTCTTTTCTTTCTTTCATTCCTTCAGTCTTTTTTCATCGTCCTTCTTTCCATTTCCTTTTATATTTCCTTCTTTCCTTTTTCTTTCATCTTTCCTTTGTCCTTCTTTCTTTCCTTCTCTCCTTACTTCCTCCCTTCTTTTTCCCTCCTTCTTTTGTCTCTGCCTTCTTTTTTTTCATCTTGCTTCCTTCCTTATTCCTTCTTTCTCTCTTCCCTCCTTCCTTTTCTCCAGTTTTCTTTCTTCCTCATTTTAAACT